GAAGGACGCCGAGCAGGGCGCCGCGCAGATCGCCATCGAAAAGGTAAACCGGTTAGGGCTGGTGGCGGCGTGGGATTCTGCTTCCTCCCTATGCATGTAGGTTGCCAAGTTTTCTATCGCTGGGGCTTTAGGGTGTGTTTGTAACATTATTAAGCTGTGATTCTATACTGTATAAATATAAACAATATGTAGTGTATGATCCGGGTACTGCGTCTCTCCCTCCTGCAGTCTTACCTGAAAAGGGGGACAAGGACTAGTTGCAATTCTCTAGATTCAGTTGTTTCTTTCTGGCATGCAGTGCCCCATTATGTTTAGGCAGCAATGTTATCTTGTATCTTAGATACGAACATTTGGCTTCTGAGGTCAGTAACCCAGTTTGGAGAATCCATCCTTGGTGAATGAGTTGTGTACTGTAGCCCATCTTTCGTCGCCCTTTCTACTGACAATTCTCATAAACAATGATCAGGAACTTCAGTAAGAAGGTGTGCAATTACGTAGTTCCTTTGTGCGATAGGTTAGGTAGCTAGCTATTTGGCATGTATAACATAGTTCCATGATGTACAATGTTCTTCATGCTATGGACAAGTTATGATAACCATTTGTTTTTTCTATTGTAGCTTGGTATTCAGCCCACATCAAATATCCCTAATACACCCGAAGAAGCTTGGGAGGAACTTATTAGTCGGATATCTTACTTTTTTACAGATGAGGTCCGTATTTTTGCCTGATCTTGGTATTGTATCTTCAAATTTAAGATTTAAGTTATGTACAAATGTAAGTTCGTAGGAAGAAAAGTACTCCCTCCGTAAAGAAATATAAGAGCGTTTAGATCACTAAAGTAGTGATCTAAACGCTCTTATATTTCTTTACAGAGGGAGTAGATTGGTATTTTCATGGTGTTGCCCATTTCAGGGGAACTCTATGTTCTCCTCTCCTGGCCCTGGGATCCTTGCATTTGATGGCTAGCTTGTTGTTGTAGTGCATAATTAGTAACTATTGTTAATATTTTTTATAAGACTTTGATAATGAGGACCTTTATTGAAGCGATATATCTTGTTTATGGTTATCTGTCGTAAACGACAGACTGATAGAACATACTGCCAATTTTTTCTTTGGGCACTTTTGTGTTCATGTTTTTACACTCTCTGACAATTCTCTATCATGTCCGAGCACATGTTTCTATATGATTTATCTAAATATAGGTCTTGAAGTCTCAATCATTTTCCCTATGAATTATCGATGTTAATCGAAGCACACATTTATTTGTCTACGATATCCTTCTGAGTTCCGATTATTCAATACCTATTTTAACAAGGCTATACTTCTATGCTTCATTTCAGAACTTCCCCACATCATCTCATCCTCTTGTTGGGCACTTGAGTGTGACACTCAGAAGAACTGGGGACTTCCTTGGAAAGATACCTATTTCAGCTATTGTTGCTTGTGATGTTAAGGTCCATACATTGTGTAAAATTATAGACCCTAAGGCAGAATTTGATCCTCTCTTGGTTCTTTCGATGATCTATAATGCTGCCAAACAATCTCCTGGTGTATCTGTTAGTAACAGAAACTTCTGGATTCAGAGTCAAAGGCCTTATTCCTCTGAGGCTGTTGATTTGGCACTTCAGTGCTGGTCTGGTATTTCAGATCCCATAAGAGTAGAAGCAGTTCTTATTCCTTGTGCGGTGGAGGATGAACCTAAGATGGTAAGTCTTAATATATCAGAGAATGAACATTACATGGGTGATATAGCATTGAAGCTCTCTGCAACTGACTCATCTCATGTCCTTGTCTCAAGGTCAGTACAGAGTCAGTGATTTGTGAAGTCTTGACTCTTAACCTTTACAGCAAATTGGTTGGGCTGACTGTTTAAAGCATTTTTCTTACTGCAGAACAGTTGACAAAGCATCTTCTGAGATGAGGTTTTATTTCCCAGCTCCGGATGTACAATTTGTTTCTGATTTATCAAAACAATTGGTGGATGATCGTGGAGATCGCAATATGAACTGTGTAATAAATAAGCGAGCTTCCTACATTTCTGGCCAAACAATTTATGGAGATGCAGTTTTGGCAAATGTGGGATACACAAGGAGAGATACAGAACTTCAAACTGATCATGTCAATCTATGTACCTATTACAGGTACAAGCTTGTTGACGGTTTCACTTGTATGCTATATGTTTGCAGCAAGACTGCAATCTGTTATATAAGTGATACACCAGCTAACAATCTATAGGGAATCGTAATCTAGCTGTAGATGCCGGTCATTCATCAGTTTCTCTCCATTGTGTTCTACTTATCTTCATTTTTTAGACTGCTTTTCTCTACCTTTTAGGAACTACCCTTTCTCGCCCTATTTTATATTTTGTTTAGGTAACATGCTTTTGGATCCTCAGGATTCTTCTGAGAAAATTACCTGATGGAATTTACAAGATCTCCAAGGACTCGATTCTTGTGGCAGAGCTTCCGTGTGTTTATACTCGTACCAGTTGGAAAGGCCCCTCTCCACGAGATCTCCTTTGTTCTTTCTGTCGACTCCAGAGGCTATCAGAACCCTATTTCGCTGCCAATAGGGTAAGTGCATCCTGTAATGTCCTAGGATCAGCTGTGGGCTCTGAAGAGATGGGGTCACCAAAAGCAACCGCAGGAAATCAGTGCGCAAATGATGGAAGGATTGCCAAGGAAAACCCAGACATGTTCAAGTGCTCTGTCAAAATATATTCAAAGAAGAGGGACCTTTTACTAGAGTATTCTACAGATTGTAGCTGGAGCAAGGAAACTGATGCTATTCAGAATTCTGCGTTGAAGGTCTTGATTTGGTTCAATCGTTATTTTAAGCAGCTGAACACGCCTGTGGAGAAGCTAAATCTTCCTAAGAGCACTGATGGCTTCACGATATATCCGAATATATTTTTACAAGAATTTGCAATGTGCTTATCTGTCTATGGCAAGACAAGTGGTGGTGATTCAAGAACATGCAGCGCAGTTGGATATTTTTCTATGGATACATCATATCAGCAGCTTGAAAGCGGTGCATTTTTAACATACATTGATGGTCAAGATTCTGGCGTTTTTCCATCCCATGGATCGTTGGCTTGCATAAGCTGCAGTGTTCAGCTGTTTATGAAGGACAGCAGAAAGAGATATCTCCTAGAAGTCAATAATGAGTTTGAATTTGAGATAGGGGCTGGAGCTGTTAGGAATCAGCTTGAATCATGTGCAACCCAACTCTCAGTTAATCAAAGTGCATGCTTTGTAGATCAACTGTCTGATAGGGATTTGAGCCTGGCTGCAGCTTGTGAGTTGTCACCGGACCTTTCCAAGATATGTAGAGGTGAGCTACCTATATCAATAGCTCAATCTGACAGTTATCTACGATTGTTGGAATCGGGCTTCAACATCCTTTCTACATTTTGAACATCTTTGCAGACAGCTGCGTCTTGGAGTTCTCCGTAAAGGTGTTGCAAGTAACTGAACCTTTAGAAGATAGAATGGAGAAGGCCTTGTTCAATCCCCCTTTATCTAAACAGAGGGTTGAATTTGCTGTTCGGCACATCAACCAGCTGCATGCTACAACATTGGTGAATGTTACTTTCATCCTAGTTCCTTATTTACAAGTATTGGCTTGTCACTGTTAAAGCTGAATTTTTCAGGTTGATTTTGGTTGTGGATCTGGTAGCCTTCTTGACTCACTGTTAGAGCATCCAACAACCCTTGAAAAAATTGTTGGTGTTGATATTTCTCGAAAGGGTCTTACGAGAGCGGCAAAGGTTCAAAGTCATGTTCTAATAATTGTTTACTCTTTGAACCATTTTTTTCCTTTTCAATGATTTATATTTGGATTTGTTTCACCTCTATCTGACATTGCAGAGCCTTCATCAGAAGCTTAGCAAGAAACTCTTGTTACAAAGTAGTGTTCCAACAGCTGTGCTCTATCATGGATCAGTAACAGATTTTGATTCTCGCTTATATGGGTTTGATATTGGCACCTGTCTTGAGGTAGCTGAGTACTCCTTTTGAACTGTTTCTATCTTCTTGTTTGGTTTTGTTATATAAAATGTTATGCTTGGTTTTGTTCTAGAATTGATCTCGGCATATGGGTTGTTCCTGATGTGGATTTGATGTAGAATTACTGTAGGAGTGAACGCGGGAGTTAGTTCCTTTATGTGTAAGACAACATATCTGAAGGACGTTTGTAATCAGTACCCATGCTACATAAAATGTACCCGGAAATGCTTCTACATATCTTGTTGTTTTGTTTAGGGACTTTTTTCGACTAACCGAAGTAAACTGCAGGTGATTGAGCATGTGGAGGAGGACCAAGCAAGTTTATTTGGCAACGTTGTATTGAGTTCATTCTGTCCGGCGGTACTCATTGTTTCCACACCCAACTACGAATACAACCCTATCCTCCAGAGGTCAGCTTTGCCAAACAAAGAAGAGGAGCAGGAACAAGACGCTGGACCTTGCAAGTTCCGCAACCATGACCACAAGTTCGAATGGACGAGGTCCCAGTTCCAGCGCTGGGCTACTGTCCTCGCTGCAAGCCACAACTACAGTGTGGAGTTCAGTGGCGTTGGCGGCTCGAGCGACGAACCTGGCTATGCTTCCCAGATTGCTGTTTTCAGAAGAATGGCGAGAGATCAAGGTGAATCTTCCCGGAACGAGGATGATTCGCATCAACCTTATGAAGTTCTCTGGGAATGGCCTAACGCATCTGTACCGTCTCACTGAGTTTGGGCGGAGGTAACATTACCTGACTCACCGTCCTCCTACCCGAGATGATGAGACTGCTTCTTACTAACTTGTCAGTTCGATACTCCACCCAGAGTGTGTTGCTGGATATCTACCGCGTTGAACTAAATAGTTGCAGTAGCTGCTCCGAACCTATCCGTTGCGATGGCTCTAATCCCTGTAGAAAACTGAATATTCTGTACTGGGCAAAATGACTATTTGACTATTTTTCGCAGCGTGCTTTTGCATGATGAAGAAAGAGTAGACATGGTGCCTCGAGCAAACGGAGGGCGCTTGGCGTCGGTTGATCGATCGGTCTCCCTAGCCGTCGATGGCAGCTGCGTGTATGCTCAGGATCGTAGGTCCCGTTCGTCTCTCGCCACACACCATGCCGCGATTTTTTTTCCTCCAGCTGTTATGTCGCCCGTCGCAGCAGCACCATCCGCAGTCGCAACATCGGCTTGCCGCTCTCAGCAGAGCTCCGCGCTTGCTTCTTTGGCATTTTCGACGGTGCTCCTCCATCAATTGTTACGTTGCCCATGATTTGTCATCGCAACAGCACCACTCGTGGTCGCAACACCGTGGGTTGTTGGCCATGATTTGTCATCGCAACTGTTTTAACTAGAGAAAGAGAAAGACAAGAGATAGAGATGTAAAGTGAATGGTTATTCTCATTGACGATGGGATTACACATATATATAGCCCTTGAAGGGGGTGTGTCCGAAGGGACATGAGGCAACCGCCTTTGTCAGAAAAAGCAGGGATTAATAGGATTAATTAAATCCTAACAGCAACAGCACCACTCGTGGTCGCAACACTGTGGCTTGTTGCCTATGATTTGTCATCGCAACAACACCACTCGTGGTCGCAACACCGTGGCTTGTCGCTCAGTAACGCGAACACATAAATCTCACTGATACAAGTATTGGCATAAGACTATACGGATATATAAATTCATCATTTTGAAAAAGTGTCAATGTGGGGATATGTTTTACTATTTTTTAATCCAATCAACATGTTGAACATGCACTCTTTGCATATACGTATATAGGTCTTCTCGCAAGAAAAAATATAGGTCTGCGTTTTGTACATTGCACCTGTCATGTCTCTCTCCCCTCTGCAATTTGTTGTATCTTGGAAGACAAGACACCAGACGCACCCCCTTTATCTATATATGTGCGTAGTGCACGATCAGTGGAAATTATCGATGCACACAATCCCTCTCCTCCTAACTTACAAAACATAAAGTATAGAGTTGAATTCAGAATGTCAATTGTCACCTCTGTACATGCTTGGATTCCATGGCTCCCTGCCTCCTTCAGCAAATTAGTAGAACCTCTAGAGTAACTACTCAAAACAACATGATCACATTAGTTACATTTCCATTTAGTGTTCTCCCCTCCAAGTGATTTCTCTATAATACATGTGACGTGAAGCATCCTACGGTCATCCCTATGGACACGTCATTGTCATCCGAGGCACGAGTGGACCGATGACAAGAGCTCGTGCAAGAGCAATCAAATCCAAGGTTAACTTGCTATTCTTTGGACCTTCACTTTCCGCATGTGAGACATGGCTACTACCTCAAATGTGCGTGCTATGCATGATCAGGAACTAATTGAAAAAACACGACCGACGAACACCGGCCATCCGACACTCGTCAGCCACCGGATGACCGACCATGGCCGAATATCTGGTGCCACATGTCCAACGAAGAAACGTCGAAAATTTGACGACTTCCAGACGTCGGGACGCCCGCAAGCCATCGGACGACCGGAACCCACCAGACGTCCGGTACCTGCCTGCGTGCAGAGACTCGGGCTGAGGCCCATGTACCCCTCTCTCCCACCAGACTAATATACTCTTCTCCCACCTCGAGTTAGGGTTAGCAAAGTCTAGAGCTCATTTAAGATAGAGCTTTGCTCATCCATTTACCACTCCCATGGAGTTCAAGACCTCCATGTGAGAAGATCCCCCAAGTGGATTCAAGACCCCTTTCATGGGAAGATCCTTCTAGGATTCAACACCTCTCTCCTTCAAGGATTGGAATGAACTAGCTACCCTTTGTACCCTCTTGTGTTGACTTTGAATCGTTGTATCTCCTTATGTGTATGTGGATTTAGCGTATGTGTGTAGGATCGAAAGTATGCCTAGAGGGGGTGGTGATTAGACTACTTGACCAAATAAAAATCTAGCCTTTTCCCAATTTTAAGTCTTGGCAGATTTTAGCAACTTAGCACAAGTCAAGCAATCAACCTACACATGAAATTCTAAGAGTATAGCAGCGGAATGTAAATCATTGCATATGAAGGTAAAGGGAGGAGTTTGGAGGGAGCAAACACAATGTTGACACGGAGATTTTTGGCGTGGTTCCGATAGGTGGTGCTATCGTACATCCATGTTGATGGAGACTTCAACCCACGAAGGGTAATGGCTGCACGAGTCCACGGAGGGCTCCACCCACGGAGGGTCCACGAAGAAGCAACCTTGTCTATCCCACCATGGCCATCGCCCACGAAGGACTTGCCTCACTAGGGTAGATCTTCACGAAGTAGGCGATCTCCTTGCCCGTACAAACTCCTTGGTTCAACTCCACAATCTTGACAGAGGCTCCCAAGTGACACCTAACCAATCTAGGAGAAACCACTCTCCAAAAGGTAATATATGGTGTGTTGATGATGAACTCCTTGCTCTTGTGCTTCAAATGATAGTCTCCCAAACACTCAACTCTCTCTCATATGATAGGATTTGGTGGAAAGATGATTTGAGTGAAAAGTAACTTGGGGAAGGCTAGAGATCAAGATTCAAATTGTAGGATTGGAATATCTTGGCCTCAACACATGAGTAGGTGGTTCTCTATCAGAAAATGAATGTTGGAAGTGTAGTCATGTTCTGATGGCTTTCCCCCATGAATGAGGAGAGGGTGGAGGGGTATATATAGCCTCCACACAAAACCTAACCGTTACACACAATTTACTAAACTCGGTGGGAACGAATCAGAAAACTCGGTCAGACCGATTTAGTTCATAATGTGACTGTTAGGCATTTCGGTGGGACCGATATGTCAACTCGGTGGGACCGATTTCTTTAGGGTTAGGGCATAACGTAATCTCGGTGGGACCGACTTTGGTAATAAGCTAACCAGAGAGTTTGCCAGGCAAACTCGATGGGACCGATTCGCTCATCCCGGTGAGACCGAAATGTAATGAAGGGAAACAGAGAGTTTGCAATCCCATCTCGGTGAGACCGAGATCCCTATCGGTGAGATCGAAGTGACTAGGGTTTCTAGCAGTTGCTATGTCAAATGAACACGGTGGCGTCGGATAGATCAAATCGGTGGGGCCGAGTTTGACTTTTGGTTTGGGACATATGTGGATATGAGAAAGTGGTTGAGGGTTTTTGGAGCATATCATTAAGCATTTTGAGCAAGCAAACCATTAAGCAACACCTCATCCCCTTTTAATAGTCTTGGCTTTTCCTATGGACTCAATGTGATCTTGGATCACTAAAAGTAAAATGTAGAGTCTTCAGCTTTAGAGCTTGAGCCAATCCTTTGTCCTTAGCATTTTGAGGGGTCCACATTCCTAATCCATGCCATGCCAATCATTCAACTTTCCTGAAATATTCATCTTGAAATAGCATTAGTTCAATGAGCTATTTGTTGTTAATCATTACCAAAACCACCCAGGGATAGTTGCACTTTCAATCTCCCTCTTTTTGGTAATTGATGACAACATATAGATCAAAGCTTCGACAAATGATAATAAGATTGAAATACATCGTCGCTTTGAGAAGTATGTGATAAGCAAGAGCTCCCCCTAAATTTGTGCATTATTTAAGTTTTGCTTTTGAATGCAAATGCACAATCGATTAGTATCATGGGTTACTCTTCCATGTCACATACATCTTGGTGGAGCGCTCAAAATGATATCAATTAAAAGCATGCACTCATCACCAAGCAAAGTGAATGATCATATATGGATATAAGAGATAGTATCATCCAGACAACCATTAAAGTAGCATATGACCAAACACATGATCATACAAGTATCTCACATAAGGACATAAGGTATGAAACAATCACACAATAAAGTTCAACCAAACAAGTAGCAAGAGAGACAAAAAAAGCAACACTCTCTCTCGAAGCCTATGATCTATACATATTTCTCCCCCTTTGGAAACAAGTTACCAAAAAGTTCAAATATTCATAGTGCTATGCGTCTCTCAGGCTTGGTCTCCGTGAGGTAGTGTAGAGATGACTCCAAGGACGAAGGCTTTTGTCGATGTAGCTGGAGCTGCTGGAGTGGCTGCTAGAGGTGGCACTGAAGTTGTAGCTGCTGGTGCTAATGTAGTAGCCCTAGTATCAGGTACTGGCACTGCAGCTGACCTCTGACCTCTTGGCACATACTGAAAAGCTTCTGTAGTTGCCTTTCCTTTCTTCTCCTCTACTTCCTCTTGGAGCTGCTCAACTACTGTCTGTATCTCAGTGACTTTCATATCAAGATCATAGAATTTTTGTTCAATGATCCTTTCCAAGCTCTCCTAATTTTGAGTCAGGGTGGTCAAGCCCTTCTCAATCCTCAAGGTAGATTGGATTAGAAATCCAAGTTGATCTTGTTTGCTCTTCAAGAACACTTGAGATGCCTCTTCAGCACTTGGCATCCTTGCAACTTTTTCTGCCTTTGCTTTTGCTCTCTTCTCTTGTGCTTGCACTGATGAAGGTTCATTCTCATCCATGACAACTGTGTTGTCTTCAAATTCTGGCTTGAGAGGTAAGTGCTCCTTGTCCAACAAGTAAGTGCCTGTGCCCATCTTTGAGTTGATGAGCACCTGAATGTGTGGAGCATACCCACAAGACCTTTTATGGTCAACAGATGTCCTCTTGATTGTCTCTACAATCAGACTCATGACCTTGAATTTTTGAGGGACATAAAAAATGTGCAGCAAGTTGATTGAATGTCCTTTTATCATCCTATGATCTCCAGATTTGGGCAATAGAGTATGCCTTAAGATGGTGTTGATAGTAGGCAGACCAGACAACAAGTATTTCACTGAGCCCAACTTATGAGTTTCCAGGGCTTCATCAGGAATTTCCTTATACGTACTTGCCATGGAGTTGTGGTCTTTCTTATTCTTGGCATACACATCCAAATCATCCTCATGGTCTTCTGGAGCATTGATCAACTTTTCCCATTATTCAATAGTTGACTGGTACCATGTACCTTCAGACATCCACAATATCCTTCCATCTGGATAGAAATGAGCAGTGGAGTAGAATTGCATGATCAGCTCATCATTCCATTTGGTGAGCTTCTGTCTAACAAACTTGTCAACTCCACAAGCTTTGAAGCTGTCATATACACCTAGAAAGTGATCTTCATTCTCTTTGATATATTCCCAATCAACCCATCTCATATCACAGACAATTGGCTTCTTGTTAAGAAGAATGGTCTCATAGAAGTCTTGCTGTTCTTTGGTGTGGAATCTATAGTCCACAGTAGTTCTCCTTCTCACAGCATAAGGATCATTCTTCCTCCAAAGTC